GGTCGATGGCGACAATGAAAGCGCAGCGTCGATCTTTCGACCGACGCTGGTCACCGTGACCGGACGCTGGGTGGCTGTGTCCGGTCCCGCTAACTTGGCAGCACAGAGAAGAGGAGAAATGATCGGATGATGATGCAGCGTCCGATCGTGATCGACCGGACACGTCCGGTCACGAATTTTCACCTCTGGAAGCTTACTGGAAGTGACCAGACGCTGGGGTCTTGTGTCCGGTCACTTTGAGCAGCTGCGTCTGGTCATCACTTGACCATTGAGATTAAGCGACTGAGGTTGAACAGAGGCAACACGTGGCGAGCATCCGTTGACCGGACGTTGAGGTCCTGCGTCCGGTCAACCTGAAAAATGCCCAGTGAAGGGGTAACGGCTATTTTAGCCCATGGGGCTATAAATAAAAGGGGGTCTCGACCACCTCGGGAGACTTTGTGTCCATGCTTGAGAGTGCTTGGGAGCCCTCCATCTCGCATATGCTCGATAGTGATCATCCGATTGTGTGAGAGAGCGATTCTAATGCGATTGCATCGTGAGGTTGCATCGAGTGGCACTAGGTGATCGAGTTGCAAACCGATGGTGCTTGTTACTCTTGGAGGTTGCCACCTCCTAGACGGCTTGGTGGTGGTCTCCGTCGAAGCCCGCAAGAAGCTTGTGCGGTGCTCCGGAGAAGAGCTTTGTGAGGGGCATTGTGCTCGCCCCGCGGGAGCCGCGAAAAGCAACTCTAGTAAAGCGTGTCATTGAGCTACCCTCACTTTTGGGGTAGGTTCTTGCGAGTGCCCGGACGTGCGGGCTTGGCGGGTGATGCCAATTAGCCGCCGAACCACCAAGTGTGTGGTCGACACACGGGGACTAGCGTGTTGGCAAGCACGTGAACTTCGGAGAAAAATCACCGTGTCAACTTTATTCTTCCCGTTGGTTTGCATCCTCGTTATACAAGCTTGTAATTACTTTCATATACATTGTGCTTGTGTAGTTGCTCTTGTAATTAGTTTGCTTGTATAGCTCACTAGTTATCTTCTTGCTTGTGTAGCATAGAAGTAGCTCTCTTGCGTGACTAATTTGGTTTGTGTAACCTTGTTAGTCACTTTGCTTAGTTTGTGTAGCTAAGTATTTGCGCTCTCTAATTTAGCATTGATTGTCTTGTTATTGAGCATTGCTAGTGAGCTTAGTTGGCTTTGTGCTTTTGCTTACTAGCATGTGTAGGAGCTCCCCGTTGGTTAAAGTACTAGTGACATAGGTTTGTGTGACCTTGTTTTTAGAATTGATTAGGTGAGCTCTAGCTAGCCCGGCACCTTTGTTGCTTAATTAGAATCTTTGCAAGATGCTAGAGAACAAAGATAGAGGGATGTAGTCTTGGCTAGACCGATAGTATTAATTCCACACTTGTTTCGGTTAGCCGACGCGATTAATTTTAGAAATGACTATTCACCCCTCCTCTAGTCTGCCATCTCGACCTTACAGGTGGCACCCCGTGTCGCATGCATCTCCGTTTCCCGTGCCCTCCTTCGTTTCTGCGCCTGCATCATCCGAATGCCTCGCCCTGCCTGCACCACCCGCTCGCACACTGGGACTGCACGCTTCCGCTCCGCTTCCCGCGTATAGGCAGAACCCGCCTACGCCCCGCTCCGTATCGCGCACGCGGGGACCGACTGCGCCTGCACTTGCTCCGTGTCACGCTCGCACCCCCACCTACGGATGTGCACCATGTGAGTCTGGTCATCCCATTCGACGCTTGAAACATGAAAACACTTGCAACGTAAAAAAACTTGCTGTAGCATACGTCTGAAACAGATGAAACATCTGGAACAAACGCATGCAACATCTGTGTGAAACATATGCAACATCTAGATAAAACACTTGCAACATGCATCTGAAATGGATGAAACATTTTGAACAAACGTTTGCAACATCTATGTGAAACATATGCAATATCCAGATAAAACACTTTCAACACACGGCTGAAAACATATGAAACATTTCGAACAAACGCTTGCAACATACATGTATAGCCATTGCAACATGTGCAACATCCAGATCTACTTTTGCAACATCCATATGCAACACTTGCAACATACCTCTGAAACATATGAAACACTTGAAATGTATGCTTGCAACATGCGCTTCTTCCTATCGTGGTGTCTTCAGCCAACCGCGGGAGACGATGTCTCGGCTGGCGACGGCCTTCACCTAGTGGCGTCGAGGTTGTGGTGGAGCGGTGCACGCCATGTCCGCGACATGTGAGCGTGGGGTGGGCCGCGGCGGTGGATGGCCACGGTGGCCAGGCGGAGTGGGGCGGCGCGGCAGTGGATGGCTGCGCGACGAGGGATTATGGCGGCGAGGTAGAGTGGGCGGTGCAATGCGATGGACGAGCGAAGTGGGGAGATATTTTTGAGAGAGATGAGGAGACGTAGAGAGCATGCAGGGCTGTTGGGGGGAGGGGGTAGCGGTAGCGCGCAAGTCCATCAAGGAGCGCCCAGGCGACGGACGCCCTCACTGAAGCATTACCTATGGCCAACCAACAACCCATTAAGCTAGATTCACTTTCTACAATAAGGTACACTCGTATGAGCTGTTGGTTGAGTTTGATATTGTTCTTGTTTCAAATTGCTACTATGGCGATGCAATGCATATTGCACACATTAAGTCACACAAAAAACATATATGATTATATGTGGTAGATGCTCGCACTAGTTTAATTTTTTAGGTAATGAGAAAAAAATCTGTCTTTTCACATTCCCTTTTGAAAATACATCAGAACACAGCTTTTACAATATATAGTCACATGTCCCAACACGAGTGTAGACAAGGCATCACTTATATACACAAGAAAATCAATGAACACAAAGGGATATTTCAGTAGTTCATGACGTCGAATCCTAGCCACCCATCCTCCCACCAATTAGAGTGAGAGCCGAACTGGAGCTTAAGGCAAATCATTTCATACTCCCTTAGAGCAACTCATAAATTATCCTAATCAAAATCACAGGGGAAAAACCAGTAAATATCTGTTTCACTACATTCTTTCTCTCTCCCTCTCACTTCTGCAGCATAGTATAGTGCCCCGTTATCTCAGTGGTTTGTGGATGGTAGAGCAGCCAGAAGTGAGTGAGAGAGAGAGAGAGAGAGATAATAGTTTCATGGTGCATTTATTTAAGGTTATAGACGTTGGTACTCTTTTCTATGAAGTTGGTCAAACTTAAAATAGTTAAACTTAGGATAAAAAGTTAACTTATTTTGGGATCAAGTATATGACATTCTATTTAATAGCCGAAGCACGCGAGCATGTATACGGCATTCTAGGTGAACAATCAATAATCAGCTAGTAGAAACTTTTAAGTTCTTGCAAAGAATCCAGACAACCAAGAGACTGATAAATTCAAGGGTACATACAATGTAACAAACGCACCTCGGCATTCGCTGCAAACAGTACCTTCGATAAGGTTTATAGTACTACAGATGATCCCCGATTGGAACAACAGAAACTACACTATCAACATATTCTCTCTCAGCTTGTTTCAGCTTGTCATGTCATGGATTGTTTCAGCTTGTTTCAGCTTGTCATGTCATGGATTGTTTCAGCTTATTCTCTCTCACAGAATACTATTGAATCATCCGAAACCATCCGAAATCCACTGTGCAGTCTAACAGCCAAACACGCTCATGTTGAGAACCTAAACCTAATCAGCCATTAGTGAATAGGATAACAAACGAATTAACAGCTACTCCTTATGAGAGAAACTACAAAACACTGTCAGTAAGACTACACCTCACCGGCTCACCCATGCCCTTCATAGGCAAATAGTACAGCTCAAAAGCAAAAATGATCCAAGCTAGTTTCTGAATAAATCTCTCAACGGCACCACCGTGCCATATGCTTACTCAACAATGCACTACTCTCAACTGCAGAGATCGTGCAATGAAATATTGCGTTTCACTGGAACATCCATCATGCCAAAAAGCTCTCCTTACGTTCTGTTCTCAATGATACAAAGGGCAACCAAAGGTAGGATATAAGATGGCAGCTTCCCAGTTCCCACCCGAGTATAACTCAAACAATAGCCCAGAATTTCTTCCTGCAAAACAGAACTTGATCTGTCCCGCCTTCCTCATTTTCCAACATGTGCGCAGTAACATCCCAAAGGAACTTGGTGCTAGATCGATGATTCTTGAGAGAGTGTGATTCTCATCTCTAATAATGACAAAACCCTGTATGTTCACAATTTGGCAGACAATGATGACCATTCTCTCTTAACTAAATTGCTGTAACGACTACTTAAGCATATTTGGTACATTGTTTTTGAAAAGAAAAGGGACAGAAAATTATGCTACACAAGAAAGTTTCTGAATGGAGAAACAGGTATCTTCTGCTTTATACTACATTTTGTCTACTAAAGGCCAACCATTGAGGGACACGTCGACACTATTAAATTTCCATGGACAAATTGTTTCTTTTCACAATGAATTGGATGTATCTATGAGGTGCTTGTCATATTGTTTATTGGTTGCCATGTTCACTCATACAGAAACTAGTTTGTAATGGAAAAGACATACAGCTTTGGCTCTTTGAAGATATAGGTATATAGCTAGTTTATATATGTAATACATTTTTATTTCACAGAGGATACATGTAACTATGAAAGGGCCGTACACCAAAGTATTTGATGACTAAAACATGGCCTGGCTTAGGATCCTGTTGTGTATGAACATGATACCAACTTTGCTATTGCAAAATTAAAAGCCCTTTGTTATTGCAAATATAAGCAGAAATACATTCTTGAAAACATGGACATCAGTGAATAAGATATGAACTTTACTATCTATAATAATTGTCCATAATCAACTAAAAGGCAATATCTACCTGGGGTCGAATGATGCGATCCATTTCTAACATGATATCCTCCAACAAACAATCTACCTTGCGACCTTCGTAATGAGAAGAGAGGTGGAAAGCATGCAACAAGTCATAGGATCTAGGATATGTTGAGAATGGCTCACACCTGCAACATAAATATAGAATGATTTCAGTTTCATCATAAACAAGTGAAAATTTATTCATTGATTTTGGAAGAAATACCAACCAGTCATGGTAAGAACCGAGTAACCCACGGTCGTAGATAACTGGCAATGTGTTCGTCATGGTATGGGGTACTATATTCATAATCCAGACAGGGTCACTGCTTAGTGCTGCAGCAAATCCGCCATAATTAGCATTCATGTCCATGACATTTCGAATGCTAGTCTTTTCAACACCAAGAAATGACCAATACTTGTGAGCCTGGTTCTTCCAGAACTGGTTATTCTTCTCAAACCTCTCTGGTGCGACTCCTAAAAAATAAGTTCCAGAAAACCGGTTATATTCACAAACAGGCAATGCAAATTTAAGCCAAGGGATCAAACTAAATTTACATCAAAGGTTTCAATCACTTCAGGTAAACAAGTTTAAAAATCTTAAACACCTAAGACATTCTTTTGATTGAATTTGGAGGACATCATTCTTATTTCTTACACTCTTTGTAGTACAGAATGGAACTTGACTCAAATTTGTAGCATCAAAACAGGTCTTATATTTTTTTTCTTAGGAAATGGAAAAATGGAGCTGACCTATCATCTCCAAACTCTTGAAATAAAATGATAGGCGATCAGATCTGGAAGGCAATTTCTGAATATTGGATTTGTCCTTGTTGAGCTTCACACAATTCATTAACGGAATTTTCCATGATGGTGAAACGTTGTCATTGGATTCACAAATATTCAGTAGCTTCATATCAGCCTTTTTCTGCCGGCAGGATTCATCTTCAGGTTTAACCCAAATAGCTGTTTGAACATGCTTAGCAATAAGCTTCCAACACATTGTTGTTGTAATATTAACTAGCTTCTCCCAAATAACAGGAAAGTCTTTATCTTTTCTATAAGCCGGTGGAGCAGAGTATACAAAATATCCATTAGGTTGCAAAAGACGGTCTACCTCTTTGAGCAATATTCCATCTGGAAAACAAATCATGGGTGATCAATCAAATTTTGGATGATGTATCTAGAAAGTAGAATTTGTAAAGAAAAGATTATCAGAAGAAGTAACTTTCTAAGGAAACTATTGACCATCAAAGAGTACAGATACTTAAGTTGAGAACAATTGAGTTTTAAACTTTTAATGAAGAGTATTTTTGGGTCAGTAGCTTAGGGCAAATTGAAAGTATTTTTGGGTCAGTAGCTTAGGACAAACTGAAATGTGAACCTTACCATTTTCATGCCAATCAACACGACACCTTGAACAGTGAACCATTTCAAATGAACTTTCAGGATAAGGTAATTGTTTTGTGGCCAACACAGAGATCATTGCACCAATCCCACTTCCCACGTTCTAAAGCAAACTGGATTTGATTCTCATGGCCATCTTTTGGAGCAAATGACATGGTTTGAATGTCTAGGGGAAGAAGATAGGCAGAAAAGCTAGCAACACCACATCCAACATCCAAAACTTGAACTACTCCGGCAGAATGGAGATCACCAGTACTATTTGTTGTCATATTTCCTAGCCTGCATTGATCAATTACAAAAACTACGTCAACAGAAAATCCTTTCACAAAATAAAAAGGAGGCGGTAGAACGAACCATATATAACTAATTGTTGCTCCAAATTATGTCCCTTCACTGCACATACTCTTCATTCCTAATTACTCAAGGGAATCCTCCCAATAGGTTGTTCGCTCAAGAATATACAATGCTTGATCAAAATTAATAACATTCTCAACATTTTCTACAAGCCTAAAAGGCATCACATCTGACAATCATCTAGATGAGGTAACAAGCATTGGATTGCAAATTATATGCATTAATGACCATGGGAGATAATAATACTATTATACAATATCAAGCTTAAACGTTAGTACGTTACAATTTGGGATGTGAGTTAGGCAACAATTCTAGTTACCTCTCTATGTACTCTGATGCACCATGTTTGAAGTGAATGCCACCTCCAGGAAAGCACCAAAGCTTGCCCTTCTCATGCACCCAGTTCTGTCCTCCTTTGACCTCAGCAAGATGTGAATGGTTGACATTACTACGCCAGACGTAGTCTCGGCTTGTTGGCCATCTTATCTGTATCTTGTAGTCATTTGGAGGGGGCACCAAACAGAACAATCGTTTCTCTCGTGGAGGACAAATACTTTCAAGATCCTCATGCCTAGATCTATCCAGGTTCTTCAGGCTTCTTATATAGGCTGCATCATGGCAGGGGACATACTCATTGTATTCCAAAGGACACACATCAACTCCATGATCTGGAACTGCGACTGGTTTCGCCCGGTACTTACGAAAAACTCTGTTTGTAAACAACGGAACATCTGCAACTGAAAAGCAAACAGATTTCACCATATTGGCATGGAACATAATGAAAAATACCATTCATCTGGATATGGTAAGCTAGGAGGATGGGACAAGTCGACAGATGAGCACTCTAGTATCAAAATAAGTTGCTGCAGCTGCAAAGAGTAACAATATAAAACAAATTTCAGGCATAGCACCTACTGAAATGGGTCAAGGCCTAGTATTTGGCAAATTATAAATTAATTTAACATACTGGTCCGCACTCTATTAACCTAATTCTTTGTTGCTGGCAGAAAGCAAGTCCCAAATCTCAATCAAACTATTCCCGCAAACTACCGTCTACTCAAACAAGGTATAGAGACTAGAGAGCAATCCCCTAGAACCAATAGCCTAACAAGCGCCCCTCCCTTTTACTAACAATGCAGGAGCGTCAACACGAAAGCTGCAACCATAAACATAGAATCCGCCACACAAATTTCAACCACAGCAAGGGACCATAAGCCGCTTCTTCTAAGAAGCCCCGACGAAGTGGACTGGGAAAATGCCATCCGACGGCGGATCGCGACGGTGGCAAACACTCGGGGAGAGATGACGATAGGCACCTTTGGCCCTGAAGGAATGGGGCGATCGGGGGCGCGAGAGTGGGGCAGTACGAGCGCCGGGGACGCGGAGGAGCCGAAGAGGGTGCCGGAGTAGAAGGAAGCGGCAACGAGGGCGACGCCCAGGAGCAGGAGCTGCACGGACAGCGGCTCCACAGCCGCCGACGCCGGCGACCACCACCGCCCCATCTCACTGCTGCTTCTGTCAGTCTCGCTCTTCAACTCTCCCGGTACATCTTCTTCAGATTGACGGTACGGATGCCTCTGACTTTTTATAATGTTTTTACTTTATTTAAAATATAATACTTTTTTAAGCCTTATGCAATTAGCACGAGGTACTTTTATGTAATGACATTTGTAAAAGAAAAATTCAAGTTTAACTTGGATTTCAAAATTCCACAGCGAGTGCAGCATATCTAGAGAAGCTGTAGCTCGAAATTTAAGTTTAGAGGGGGAAAAAAGGTGAACTTATATACAACTTTTAAACCTTGAGCACTTAAGTTCAAAATTTAACTTGGCGACCCCATACTTTGTTTGCTTGCACATTGCAACTTTAACAAAACTGCAAGAAGTGATTATCCGCAAGTTTTGAACCAACTAGTGTTCATCAAATAATATTTTTTTTGACTAAATAGATTTCGGCGTGCTTTGGTTCACACGACACTTACAGATTTCAACTCGAGTGGGATTCGCTGACCACATCTCTTATAAGTCCTTTTCCAACAAGGAACTATGTCTCGCAAAAAATACGAACTTGGATGAACTTGGCCACAGAAGTTCCTTTTGCCTTTTTAACCTCTATATATTTACCATCCACTTCCACGATTCTGATGTATAAAACGGCATCCTTTTCAGATATTTCACAAATCAGAGTTCCAAAGATACAGAAACTAGCAGAACCACAAGACACTCTGTACGCTAACCGTTATTTTCAGAAACAAATACAATTCCTATTTCATGTGTATAGACTATGCGGAAGCTCATCCGACCCCTCCAAAAATCAATGCCTACAAGATGATACAAATGCAAGATTGAACCGGAGACATGTTAGGTGGTGGCCTGAGACAATGCAGATCCAATCTGAAGCATAAGAGGATACACCGGACTGAATTCCTTGTCTCCTCGAGACCTGACCCTCGTCTCGTAGTCGTCCAGGGTTGCTTTCACCCCCTTCCAGATCTGGTCCTCACCTTGTGAATCAAGCCATAGAGAGTACTGCAAAGGTGTGAACTTGTTGCGCTGCCGCTGTAATGGCGACTGCAGCTCATCAGGCCCTCGAGAATACAGGTGGTGGAGGATCACGCTTGGCGGCAAGTCCTGAAGGAGCGGAGACTTCTCAAGCTGCGACGTTTCCAGGAACAGGACAGGACGGAATGCCCGTAGTGCCCGGTATGGTGCCCCCAGCTGCTCCACTGGAAACAGGTTCTGACCAACAGCAAGCTCCAGCTCAGCCATGTCCCGTGCCATCCTCAACTTCCCTGCTTCTGAGAGTGGCCTGACAAGAGAAGCATGCCTTATAAAAAATATGAGGACCCTCGAGGCCATCCTTCTAACCATGATCGTACATATGGTCTCTGAACGAGAGGATGATGAAGGCAACAGCTTCGATAAGAACTCGTTGCGGAAGTGGACAGCACATTTCTGGAGCTCTTCCATGTAAGCTGATGCATTGTTATCCATTGCTGCATCCATTCCATGACCTGAAAAGTCCTGCTCATGCATTTTCAGGATGCATGACTCGAGACGATCAAGCATCGCTTGGAACAGGGAAGTCACTGAATCACAAGCAACACCATAAACAACACCAAGGGAGGGTGAAAGGACCTCAGAAGCAACATTTGGGAGTGTTGACAAGACGCTAGAATTGCGCATGTGAACCTCCTGAAGGTGAAGACACAAAGCAAAATTTTTGAGTTGGGCTGCAGTTGCTGTGCCGGTAACTTGTCGAGCTTCAGGGCCAGTAGAGATCTAGATTTACGGAAAACATATGTTAGAAACTGAACATGGAAACTAGAGCAGTGTCTAGCAACCAATATATGTTAGATGGACCTTGACACATTGTACAAGCATGCAAGAAAGAATGGAGCAAAGGTAAAAGTTATTATCTATGCATGTGAAGTGGCTAGCTAGACAATTGAACAGTCAATAAGAAATTGGCAAAAAACCAAAAGAATGCATACAATCCATGTAAACTGTAATGATATGCTGCAATGATACAGGTCTTTTACTTTACTGAAGGGTAAGCATAATGACCCAACTTTTCCCCAGGTGAAGGGTGGACAGAAAAAAAAAGTACGAAGCCAAGTCGTGCACAAGACAATAGAGATGTGTACAGCGGAGTGCCATAACAATTGAACTGTATTTTGCCATGACTTGTACAAGCTAGATAACCATGGTTTCTTTACTTCTGTAACCAATAGGTGACTAATCAGAATATAACAAGCTTATGTACACCATATTGACTAACAGGTTTCACTCAGTGAAGTCCAAAAATCACTGAACTGAGCCAAATTTGCACAGTGTATTTTTGGCATTAGAGAGTAAGCATGATTCATGAAACTAGTGTTATTGTGCTAGCAGAGGTTTTCAGAAGAACACAAAGGAAACAAGTGACTCAACATAATTAAAAGCACATAATTAGACAGATTTTAATGCGACAGATTATGTTTGGTTGCCAACTAATGTTGCCACACATTCTTGACCTGTTGAGAACTCATGGGCATTTGCTTGTTCTTGTATAGCTAACCTTAGTCTTGCCACACTTTTGTGGCAACAAAATTAGACACCTAAAGTTAGGCAAAATTAGGCAAGAAATCAGAATCTATGACATGAGGGGCAGGTGGCTAAGAAGTTAGACGGACTGTGTTGTAGAAGGAACCAAACATTGCCTACTAAAACTGTGGCGGCCTAAGGTTAGGCGTGGAATTTAGGTTCCAACCAAACAGATCCTTGGTGACTCAATTACTCAAAGACTTATGAAGAATTGTCCCACTTAAGATATTGAGCTAACAGATGCAACTAGAATCACCAAAAAAACATTGGTCAGGCTTCAACTAATATTTGGTTACAATCAGTGAAGCTGGTCTGCCAAGAAGAGAAAAGCAGTAGTGGAATATGGTATACACAAGTTTCAAGTCATAATGTTACATCAGAACTTACTAGTTAAACCTACCACAAGGACTACATTTACTCGTAGCTAATGAAGAAAGCATACAAAAAATCCACAGAAAAAACATATACAAATAACTTGACTAGATCATTAAAGGTAGCAAGTGGATACCTGATATTCAGCTCTCTGTGCTAAAAGAAGCAAGGTCTTTCCAATTTCACGTAGAACAAGAACAAGCAAATGCCCATGAGTTCTCACTACTTCGATTTCCTCTTGTATGCGAGAAACTAATCTTGAGATCTGATCCTTTGAAGGTATAGTTCCACGGTTTGACATTGGAAATATGCTGTTGACATAATCAGATAATCGACTATGACACAGAGCCAAAAAGGCTGTCTGGAATATCTCAATGGCTGAAATCATATGATCTTTTCCTTCAGGAGTGAGAGCTGGAAGGGTGCCCTTTACATCAGTATCTCTTGAAATCCTCTCAAGAAGGTTTTCGACCATCGAAAACAGTCTTGGATACCCAAGAGTAAATATTTCCTTCACAAAGCTTGAAGCCGTAAAGGTAGACTTCATTTGACCTGCAAAGGCCTTGACAATTGCATCCCAAACTCTCTCTGTTATGAGAGGCTCACCCTCCTGCAGAAGATTTATTTTATTTTTGTTAAAATAACAGAAGCTTTTAGGGATGTCAGGCATGATTATATACAGGAGCAAGAAATAAAATGACAATAGTCTTATTGTCTGCAATTCTGTATGTAAAAGATCGTACTTCATTGAAATTACAATTAAGGATGCCTGAAAAGACTGTTGGTATTCACTAGGTATAGGTACCAAGTGCACATTTCATTCTACACTGATCCAAGGGATCCACTAGCTTAGTTCTAGTATCAACTACTGGACAATAGTAACATCAGTGGGGGGAAAAGCTATGAACAATTGAAGCTGTACCCTTCAAATTTCAAGTTCATCTAACCAAACATATAACCTCAAATATGCAATGTGTTTACTAGAGAAGATCTACTGGTGTTCTGGTACATCAACATGCTCATTCTGTACTGCCTTCCATCGCCGTTACGTGTTAACAATTCACAAACTAACATCATATGATTAACGACTTTGTGTTATACTCACAGTTGCACCACTTTGTTAAGTTCCAATTTGCAACTTCAATTCGTTTTCATCTGATCTAGTAAGTTCATGCATCAAACATTTACCTGCCAAACCTCCTCAAGGAAAAGCATTTGGGTGAATGGGACACGCTTCTTAGTGAGCACAGTCTGCAGCTGCCAAGCAGCGGTCACTGCCAGTGGAGCTCCTCCATGCACTGCCTCATCCTATCCCATAGTGCCTCCGCAGCCTTCTTACTCCCACCAATCTGCGGCGTACCACTCCTCTGCACCCCTCCAGGGCCACCTCCAACTCCAGCAGTCATTGATATCGCCTTCATGTCCAGTGCAACAGCGACACTCTTTGCACCTGCTGCCTTGTGCTTCCCCACAAGCCCCTCCACTGCTGTCTTCAACTCCCCAAGATTGTAGAAAACCTGCAGCCCGCACCAGACGTCGTTCTGGTTGGACTCGGAGACACCGCGATCGATCACAGCGCTGGCCTCCGAGCGCAGCTTGGACGCAGTGGCATCCACCTTGCGCATCTCCTCGTCAACGGCATTGATCCCGGAGAGGTTCTTTCCTCATAGAGGAGACGGATCTCGCGGTAGAGCTCTGCCTGGCGCGCGAGGTCCGGCGCAGGGGAGGAGGCGAGGAGTCGGGAGGAGAGGCGCACTAAGCGGTGGGAGTGGAGGAGGAGGTCGGCTGTGGCAAGGAGGCTGGAAAGGGAAGCCGAGGAGTGAGCGAGATGGGAGCGCGGGGCCGAGAGGTGGGAGGAGAGGAGGGAGAGGTGGGAGGAGAGGAGGTTGAGGTGGGATGGGAGAGAGGAAAGCGACGCAGAGGCGGAGCGGAGAGAGAGGAGGTGGGAGAGGAGGAGCGGGTGGCGGCGCAGCACCTCAACGCGGAGATGGCGCCGGAGAAGGCGGATGGCATCCTGCAGCTGCTCGGCGCGGGAGGCAGCGAGT